GTTATTAAATTTTTCAATTTGTGTTTGATCATTTTCCTATCTGTATGCTGGAATTAAAGTTCAGAAATAAAGAAACGATTCGTTTATGGAAATTACTGAGCTAGAACAGAGCTATGAACTAATTACCAACGTTGGACTAAAACATTAATGTCTGGCTTCACATTTCAATTCAAATTCTAAAAACAAGTATTTTATTCATTTTCCAAAGTATTTGTATGAGTTTTAACTTTTTATAATTCAATTTATAATTTTTGTCACACCGCAATTGCATTCATATATCAATATCAACAATTATTGTAGTTGCATTTAGAAGAGAAAATTTTTAATGGCATTTTCATCTTAACCCTACACACTATATAGTAAAACAAAAATATAAATTCTACCAATTAATAAATCATAAAAACTGTAACACATTCAACAATAAATATGGAAATAATTTCTCGAAACATTTTTTATGCCAATCAATTCACTGAAAATAAAAATTTCAAGAAAAAAAAATTAAACAATAAATATAATCAATGTTTAAAAAAAAAATTGCTTCAATTGAAACATCAAGTATGAGGGGAAAAAAATTTAAAATCATAATCTAAGATTTTTGCTATTCACATGAGTACCTTTTTCTTTATTAATCAATAAAAATTCAAGAAATTGTTTTATGAGAATAGTAAAAAAAATTAACAAAAAGGAAACATGAAAAAGTTCGAATTAGTTCAAAAAGATATTTTGAAAACCGCAACATCAGAGATGAAACTTGATAGGAAAAAAAATTGTTTCTTCGATTCCAAAACACATTTTGAAAATCACAACATCAGATGAAAGTTGTTTTGTTTCTTTGTTAAGAGGAATCATAAATTAACACCGATAGTAAAGGAGAAATTGAAGCTTATTTTTCTTTGAGTTGTACACCATTCCGGGGTGTGAGATATAAAATGCTACAATTTCCGGAAGGGATAAGGTTTCAAATCGAAAACTTTTTAACTTCTATCAGGAGTCCAATGCAGATTTTCTTTTTTGTCCAAGAGGGGAGAAAAAGATCGAATTCAGCTTACAGATAACATAAAAGCTTTTTATGTTTTATATAAATATACANATAATAAAAGTCTTACAAGCGTAATTTTGAACATATGTTATTGATAATTTTTTTTATTCAAAAATACAAGAAATTTTACTTTAAAATATCAAAAAATACTTATTTCATTAAAGTTTCCTTTTAAAACTTTTTAAGGCTGTGTTGTTCCATACTAGACAGTTGCTCCATATCATGAACAAAGATTTGAAAATTTAATCAATTGTATTTATAAAACAGCATAAACCACAAAACGTCGCAAAAAAAAATCCAAAATGAAAATAAATTTAATCCAAAACTAAATTCGTAATTGATCAATTAATGCATTAAGTATTCACTACAATGATAATTTCAATGAATGTTAGGTCTCATGTATATTCATTTATAATTAAGAAATGAACTATTCCAACTATGCTAAAATTTATACTGCAACCACATTTGAATTTTTTTTTAAATAGTTATTCAGTGGAAAAAAATATTAAATAACATTTAACTTCTGTTTTATTAAGTATTTAGAAAAATCAATAAATTTAACGAAAGAAACGGGATAGGTTAATCACAGTAACGATTTAATAAGAGAAGTATGAAAGTGCACAGTTTTATGATTAATTAAAAATCAATTTAAGATAATTAAAAAAATTAATTTCCATAGATAATTATCATTTTTGATACACATAAAATAACATTAAATTTTTCACTGCCAAGAAATAAATCAAATTGGATATGAAAATGACAGTTAATTTCGAGGAAAAATGCAAGTAGTAGTTACGTTTCAAAATCAAGCTAATTTAATTAATGAATATCTAGCCCATATTAATACGGAACGATGTATAAGGATATATCCACGGCCGTGGATATATCCTTATACATCGTATCCTTCTCCACTGAGCCATTGAAACCATTTGTTCATTAATCTATTAATGGTTAAAACAATACAAGTGAAAGTTTTAAAAAAGGTAGCAAGAATAAATGACGTGTCTCCTTTTCATTAAAGTTATGGATATCAAACTTTTAAAGTAGCAATGAAAAAACAAATTACAGTACAGAACCCGTTATCCGGAAATCAGAAAACCGGAAAACCAGATAACCGGAATGAAATTCGGAACCGGAAATTAATTTTCTTCCATTAAAAAAATTTTTTTTTCTTGCAAGATTTTGAGCCCATTTTGTTATTTAGAGCGTACGGCGTATCGAGTTGACGAAAGAACTGATTTAGAGGACGGATCAAAAGCCGTTTGTAGACGAATCTCACATAAGCACAAATAGCTTATATATGTTATTAATGTTAATAATAACATTAATAACATATATAAGCCTGTATATAATTTTTATTTCATAATTTCTTTCCTTATTTAAACTTAAGTGTATTATTATTTATCATTTTTTATTATTTCTAAAACTATTTCAAAATAATTTTTTAGTTTCGTTTTATAAACATTAAAAAAACGGCATTTTGTAGCGATTCAGAAAACCGGAAAAATCAGTTATCCGGAATAGCGATGGTCCCGATCGTTCCGGATAATCGGTTTCCTACTGTAGTAATTTTAATATAAAACCCTTCTTTTTTAATTTACTGTCGCTTAACAAATAAAAAGTTTTTCGTGTGACTGTACGTGCAAGTGTAAAACAGTTTTGTTAAAAAATATGTTGAACTTATAAAGTGACATAGTTAAAAAACATGTTAGACTCATTAAATAAAGTGATTTTCAGTTAAGAAAATATTTTGCAATTTACTTCTTGTTTTTTATACATTTTAAGATGTTCCCATTACCTTTTAAGCTATCTAAAAATAAAAAGGGGATTCTAATTTTTATTTATTTATTTTGCTTTTGTGCCCGCTGTACAAAATGTCTTATTTTAATCAGATGATAAAACTTAACCTCTCGAGATCAGAACTTTAAATAAGAATGGAAAATGCGATTCTTTTTTCAAATATCTTAATAAGCTCATAAATATGATAAAATATAATTTTTTCAGAAGAATTCGATTCATTGAACTTAATTAAGTTTTTAGTGATTTTTAATTATTAGATTAAAAGTTTCACTTTTTTCCATAATGATATTTTTAATATGTATCTCTTAAAAATTTGTTCACGCATACGATAGACTCACAATATGCCATATAATTGTCCGAAAGGTTACTTGAATTCAAACATTTCTGAAACTTTTTCATCGTAATTAAAAACTTCAATTTACGAAGGCAAATAAAATTATGCTTTTAGATAGACAATCAATTTGTAATGGCACAAACAGAAAAAAAAGCATTAAATAAAATTTTTGGAATGATAGGAGTGCATTAAATATTGCTCAATATATTGGACGCAGGGATATTGTAATTTCGCATAATTAAAAATATCTCTTATAGTTCAATATTTCTAAAAATAATTTTAATTATCAAACTTTTGATCGCAAATAAGATTTAAGATATATGTTCCATAAAATGCGTTTAAAAATATGTGTGCTACACAATTATTAAAAAAAAATTTGACAAAACTTCGAAATTTTCTAAAGTTTTATTATGAAAAATCACACGAAATGCCTTTATTTTTAAAGTTTCTACCAAATGCGAAATATCAATTTTTATAATACTTATTATAGACCTTACTGCTGACCGAAAATTTAAACGAAAGAAATTTAAAAGAAAGAACTTATTTTAAATAAAATATAATGCAAGAGCTTTTTTAATTACGTGTCATTAAAGAGGAGAGTTAATTTACATCTTATAGTTAATTAAATTTTTATTTACATCAATTAATTAGTAATTATTTACATTGTCATTATTATCTATTAATTAATTTACTAATGATAAAAATTTTTGAATTGTAAGGTAGTAAAATTTTTTCATATTCTGACTCTTCAAATTTTTTAAAAATAATTCTTATTTTTAATGATATTTGATTGGTGAAAAATTGATTAAAATATTAGTTTGAAGAGCTAATTATTGAATGCTTATGAGATGGTACTTCATTGTATCATTATATTGCCAAAATTTCAATTATTTGCAGCAGTTATTTATTGTAGTTTATAAATAATTATTTACATTTTTGTTACAAAACAATTTTCTGAATTAATTCATTAATCATAAAAATTTTTGAATTGTAAGGTATTAAAATTTTTTCAGAATTTACAAATTTTTTGCAGAATTTTCAAGTCTTCAATGAATGATTATGAGATGGTATTTTATTTTATCATTACATTGCCAAAATTTTAATTATTTACAGCAGTTATTTATTGTAGTTTTATAAATAATTATTTACATTTTTGTTACAAAACAATCCTCTTTGGGAAGCTTAATGCATAAATTCCTTTGCAGATGTGTAGATAACTCACAAAAAAATTTGCATAAGAATAGCATAAATAGCATAAGAAAAAAAATCTTAATTTTTTAAGATTTGTGAGGATTTTCTTAAAAAATAAGCACTTTTTCAGAGAGTCTGAGCTAAAAAAATAAAATAAAGAAAGAAAAAACAGAACAAAATTAAAAAATTAAATACGTTAATTATACATAACTCTGCGTGTTTAATGCATGCAATTGAATGCCAAGACTATTGATTAAAAAAGAAATCATCGTTGATCATCTACCATATATCGTTGATCATTTATCATATCATCGTTGATCGTATGTTGAGCTCGGAAAGACTTTAATTTAATTTTTGCATATTTCGGAAAATGAAGAGTTTAGTTGAAAACATCGACTTTATTTAGTTTTGCATAGAAGAAAATCTCGTTCGATATCTTTACCAATGAAACATATGTTTGACATTTTAAATTTTCTTAACAAAACAAAATTAAATTTAAGCATTTTTTTTTAGATAAAAATGAATAAGGTTAAATTAATTTCAACCATACTATTAAAAATAATTATTTTAAAATCTAAATTCATATAAAAAACTTTTTTGTTCGGAAATAGAAAAAAAAATTAATTTTTGACTCACCTGTTGAAAAAAGTGTGAGTAAAGCCTCCCCACTCGGAATACCCGAGCAGGAAGGTCCGTCCCATCGGGGGTCCCCCGTTGTCACAAATTCCTCAAGAATCATTATAAGGTATCCTAATATTTATCATTTTATTAATCACTCAATATCTTACCCTATCATCAGAAAAGAAATATTATGAACTGTTTTCGCTCAGACTGAAAGTTCATGAATGAACAACAGTTCCAGCCCACTTTCCGTATTTGGAAAGTGTTCTGTAAATGTGACCAATCACGATCTTTACGCTTATAAGTGACGTTTTGAAACGTAGAACTTCGTCAAAAGACGCGTTACTATTTATTTGATGTCGTGTATGGTATCTAAAATTGTTTTAACTCTTTTATTCTAAAACAGAAACTTACCAATCAACGTTTTTTGAGCATTTTATTGAGTAATATAATATTTGTGTAAGAGAGAAACCTAAAAACGCGAAATGAATAAACTTTTTAGAAAAGAGTGCATCGACTCTCTTCGTGTCGTTGAAGTCCATATATGGTAGCCGAAGATCTCCGAAGAAAGCCGAATGCATACGTCATAAGTATAGCGAGGGATGAAAGGTGAAATTTTTTCTTTATTTTAATTACTCTTTAGGAGTGGCTCAGTTGCGTTGGAGAATTGTGTGGGCGATTAGACAGCGAAGAGTTCTCTACTTAAACTTCGGTGATAGAAACCCCAATAATTTAACAAACAAATGATTTCAGAAAACGTTTTACATGCTTGTTTTGTTTTTGTTGCTTAATTTAAGAAAATTTAAAAATTGTATTATGCTTGGAAACTTTACTTTTGTTTTGTTTAAAAACAATTATGTTTAATACCTCATAATACATTTTTATATAGTTATTGTTTTTCAAAAGGTAGCGTTAAATTAGAATGAACAAAAAAAAATACTTCCGAAAGTTTTTATCACTAGAATTTTTATTTTTAAATGAAATTTAGTTGTTGTTTTGCCGCATATCTCTCTAAGATGTTAATTTTCAGGTAAATACGAGATACTTGTGAACTTTTCCTGCATTTTTAGTTCTCGTTTAGATTGTTAACACTGTAGTTCTTGCTTCAGACATAGTTTTTAGCACCGTTTGTTACCTCGAATAGATATTATCGTATATTCCTCTTAAATTTTTCTTCTTCATGCTATTACAATACAGTATTCAGAGTACAAACAGTGAGTAGAAAAAGAGGGACCACCCTGAATAACTTTTGATTCAATAATCCAATCTTCGCGTTTTAGGTTCTTATAGGTTCAAAGGGGGTGACCTCAAATATAATAATAAATTAGATAGGGGTTAGCAGCAATCTGGGAAATATGGTCCCGATAGTTTTGTCAGTAGAGCGGCCCAAAGTTTGGATCCCTTAATGTTAATTTTCCTTTTCATCACCATATCTCGAGAAGTTTTTAAGAGAATTGAAAAATATTTGAGCACTATTATAAAATTCGATATTCGGTATTGTAAAATTCACACAATTATAAATATCCAAAAATAATTCCCTGCAAAATTTAACTTTTATTAAATATTTATTATTTTATTTTATAACAGTTTAAAATAATTTGAATAGTAAGATCTCTAATTTGTTTACATATTTTTAAAATTCTTATTTTACATGGCTAAATACAATTGAGCGAAATCGATCGAACAGTTAAGGAGAAATTGAATTATAAACGCTGGAATTTTTTAAAATTTGATTTCTAAGGAACTATTCGAACGATTTCGCTCAAATCTTGAATTTTATCGTGCAAATTTCGATTCTTTAAATTGATGTAAAAATTGCATACCTTACACTTTAAAAGTTTTTCGACTATTACTAAATAAAATAATAAAAAAATATTAAATACTTACAAAAAGGTAATTTTTGCACTGAACTACCTTTGGATAAACGAATTGTATAATCGTGTGAAAAAAATTGTTTGATTCGCTTAAAAAGTTCCCTAGATGTGGCGCAGCAAAGCGTAAAATTAACATTCAGGGGTCCAAACTTTGGACAGCTCTACTCACCAAACAATTAGGACCCTATTTCTCACATTGAGACTACCCCTTACATACAAAAGTTGCAATCCACCGAAAAAAGAAGAAAAAGTCCGTTTTTTGCTTGATTTCGTAACTTCAAATATCGTCTGTACTAATTGATTAGCATATTTGAATCCGTCCCCCCCAACCATTAGGTTTTGGAACGTAAAAATCCAATCATTAGATCAAAAGTTATTTAGAATGGTATTTTTTGCACACTATACTATTTTTGTGCAGCAGAAAAGGTTCAACTCACCTTGAGTTTACTGTCTCTCCATTACGTTTCAATGATAGGATGTACTAAGCGACAAATGATTCATCTTAAATTTACAGACCGAATCACTTTGATCTAATAATCGGATTTGAAAGCTCTTTATTCTTTGAGAGCCTAGCGTAAAATATGCTATTTAATTAGAGCAGACAATATTTTTTTATGTTACAAAATCGGACACTAAAACTTACGTTCTTTGAATAAGGATTTTTTTTTTTTT